TGTGTGTGTGTGTGTGTGTGTGTGTGGCCAGCTCAGCCCGCCAGGGGGCGGGGCTGGCTGGCATGTGGTGCTGGGGGATTGAACTGCGGTCCCTGGGCTTTGCTAAGCTTGTTCTAAGTAGGTGCTTTAGACCACTGAGCCATCTCACCAGCCCCGACATCATCTCACTTGTCAAAAAAGTTCTGTTTTTTTATGCCACAAATCAAACTCAGGACCTTGCACTTGCCAGATAGATACTGTGCCACTGAGCTATGTCCTCATGTCGTTTGTTTTTTTTTTTTTTCTTTCTTTTATAAAGAAACCCAATCACAATACACTACTGCAGCTAAAAAATGAATAATAATGTAGATAGTACAGTGGCCTTCACTTTTACTAAGTAACTTTTCCTTTTGGTTTTAACAAGACATTTCTTTGCTTTAGGACACTGATGAGGTCCACACACTGTGGCCATTTAGTGTGTCTGCTAATTAGATCTCTAATGCTGGCCTCACCTCTGTTTTCCTTACACTTTACTGCTGAAGAGACTGAGTCTGTGTCCTACAGATTCTTATGGCCTTGGCTTTGCAGACTGCATCCTCAGTGTGAAGACATAAGCTGGGATTTCCATCTGGTCTTGAGTATATACAAATCTGAAACAGAGGGTTGAGGCTCAGGACCCTGTTAGAAGTCGGGTGCTGGCAGCCTATACTCTGAGAAAGGTCCAAAGCAATACTTTTTAATGCATTCCTGCTGGCTTGTGTGACCAGTGGTACCCGCATGATGTGCCATCAGGCGGCATGTACCACTGGTGCGACAAACTAATCAAATCATTTTTTTTCATTTATGTGTTTGGTACAGGGTCTCACTATGTAGCTCAGACTCGTAGTAATCCTCCTGTTTTCACCCTCCCCAACACTAGGATTACAGGCATGAATCACCATGCCCGGACTCGGTTGCAGGCTCAGTGTACTCTGGGGGTTGGGGCTGGCATGGTATGGGGGGGCAAGAACCCTGGTTTCTGCCTTGCCTAAGCAGGCGCTTAGTCCACTGAGCTATCTTTTTTTTTTTTTTTTTTTCCGGAACCAGGGATTGAACTCAGGCCCTTGCGCTTGCCAGAGAAGCGCTTATTCCACTGAGCCATCTCCCCAGCCCCCGACTGAGCTATCTTGCCGGCCCTAGATCTAATCACTTTTATCAGCTTTTGACCAATAAAATTGATACAAAGCCACCAGGTACAAGTCATGCTTGAACCACCCCATGTTCTAAGCCGCCTAACAAATGACAGACCTGTGCTAAACGTGTTAATGGAACTTTATCTTTAGTTCTAATTTTTCTGGCGATATTGAGGTACTCTTTAAACAGGTCAGTCCTAGAGTCAACTACTTTTCAGAATATGGGGGATTTTTAAAATGTGCTAACAATTAAAGGGGTCGTGAAATGCGAAAGCTGTGCTTTGTAGTAGGTAAAATTTTTTTTTTTTGAACTGGAGATTGAACTCAGACCCTTGCGCTTACAAGGGAAGCGCTTATTCCACTGAGCCATCTCTCCAGCCCTGTAGTAGGTAAATTTTGATTCTAAGGTCAATGAGGTGAGCAAGTATTTTTAAGTTTCCCTTTAGAGATGAGTATTTTTCCTCTTTTTGGTTATGTTTTCTTAAAGTTGAAATAGCATGAGAGTAGACGCTTCTAAAATAGCAGTCAGAAAATCTGGGCTCCACCCAAAACATACCAAGAATTTACGATACAATGATTTGACAGAAGCCCCCAAATGCCTATCATCCTGAGCATGTGTGATTTAGCAAAAATTTATTTTGTGTGTCCTATAGATTTCCTACTCTTGAAAGTATGGCACTGAATTATTTTTAAAGTGAATCATCACATGGGATTACTTAATCATTGTGATAGTAGGGAAACTAGCTATCAGATATCAAAGCCCAAACAGAACGGCAACAATTTCTAGGACCAAATCATTGTACATTTTAAATTGCATATTACAGGGAAGCTATACCTTGTCTCACGTTTATACACCAAATGATGTCCGTAAGGTGCTTGAATATGCCCGATTACGAGGAATTCGAGTCATACCAGAATTTGATAGCCCTGGACATACACAGTCTTGGGGAAAAGGTAAGGAGTTTGTTTTATGCTGCAAAAAGCAAACATTTGAGATTTCTACCTCTCTTATGGTTTGGCATCTTGTCTTTTTTTTTTTTTTTTTTTTGCGGGGGAGTGCCAGGAATTGAACTCCGGACCTTGTGCTTGCCAGCCAGGCACAATACCACTGAGCTACATCAGTAGCCCTCATTTTATTCTTAATTGTGGTTTGCACAGTGATCACACTACTAACAGATGTAACTGAATACTATGTGTCTCCTGTGAGCGAGTCCCTGGGTCTAGGTGCTACCTAAAGTGTAAGAGCCGGGGGAAAAGAGAAAAGGTAATGATTTCAACAAGTAGAATAATGGAATTTAGAAGCAGGTTTCATAGCTGAGGTAGCACTAAAGTGCTGCCCTTGAGGGGTCATTGAATGTGTCTGGGTTTCTGGTGGACGGGCCACCGCAAGGAAAGGCATGTGGAGCGAGAGATGCGTGACAGGCACACGTGTGAGGAGAGTGGAGCAAACACGAGGCACTAGTGAACGGTGAGCAGAAACTTGGGATCTGGTATCCCTGTTCACTTCTTAGGCTGCATCCTGCTGCTTCTAGCTAGAAACCAGTTATATAATATTTCATCTCCAGTTTCTATAAAATAGGCCTGTTAATGGTAGCTTCCATGTCACTCTTTTGAGGCATGTAGTGTAGGACCTGGCATTTATAATTGCTTAGTACACACTACTCATGGCAGAGATGGCTGGAAAAGCTCCCTGCAGAGAGAGGGCTTCGGGGGTGAGGAATGCGCACTTCATGAGGGACTCCCTGGGAGCCAGCACAAGCTTCTGAGCAGCTGAGCAGCATGAGGGGAGTCATAGTTGGGGAAAGCCTTTGTGAAAATGACTGGTTGAAGGGGAAAGAGACTGAAGTGCTAGACCAGGAGGGGGAAACGGGAAGGAAAAATAATGGACAGAACTAAGGGAGCTCGGGAAACAGCCGCCTTGGCCTTGGTTAGATCATATCTTAAGTGCTGCTAGGATTTCTAGTTGTAGCAAACAAAGAATCTGATATATGGCTTGAAGCTCAAGAAAGAGTTGGGGCAAACTGAAGATTTGGGAATCACTGATATCTGAAGTGGATAAAATCTGAGGCTGGATAAAAAGACGACAGGTAAAGAAACTATTCAGAACACAATTCTTGCTGGGCTAACGTGAAAGAGCTTACCATAGTAACTCTTGGTAAACATGCTTATCTTTTTCTGCATACGATTTCTTACGGCTTCAATAAAATAAAGTTCAGATGGGCCTGGCATGCGGTGGCTCCACCTAAGAGTTTGACTTTGCGATGGCATCCAAGTCACTTGCACTCAATGTAAGCCATGCTTTGCATTTTGATTGTTTCCAGGCCAGTGATATGTGGGAGTGATACACACTCCACAGAAAAGGCGTGCAGGAGCCCACCTCCCGGCTAGCTGTGCAATCTTGGGAGTGAACGACCCACACGCTGTAGCAGTGACGGGGAGCCCTTTAGAGCTTTCAGTGACATAAAAGCCTGCTGCGGCATGTGTGCTGCAAGTTTACCACACTGTGCTCCAGTGTTTTTTGGTGGGTTAGGTGTGTTGAGCACTTAAAACATTTTCCAGTTATGATGGGGTTTAAGGTACACCACCATCCTCAGTGCGTAAGTGTCTATAGCATTTGTGCAGAGTCTGGTCTTTGTCATTAATACACTTTTCTAAAATTATATCTCTGGTTTTTTTCTTGTAGGTCAGAAAGACCTTCTGACTCCATGTTATAAGGGACAGATACCTTCAAACAGTGCTGGGCCTATCAACCCTATGCTAAATACAACTTACACGTTCCTTACTATGCTTTTCAAAGAAATCAGTAACGTGTTTCCAGATGAGTTCATTCACTTGGGAGGCGATGAAGTGGAATTTGATTGTTGGTATGGTGATTCCAAAACTCTTATTTCTTTTAAATGTCTGCAGTTGGAGTTGGTGTAGAGGGCGCCACAGGAGAAGGGAAGAGTGGGGTGGACACTCTGCTTGTAAGAGCTTCCTCTGGGTCATTGGAGGCCTCCCATGCAGGGCACACACCTGGGTGGAGTGATGAAGTGTAAGCGTGGAAGGAGGATCACAATGCGCAAGAAATAGAGTAAGAACAGGACTACAGCAAATGAGAATGCCTCCATGAAAGAGGGCAAAGATTAAGTGTGGAAGATTCTTCAGATAAAAATTACTTGATTTTGCAAATAGTCTTGGGTTGGAAACATTGCAAACGTGGGCTTTGGCAGGAAAAGCCCTGAAAATGAAAAGTGGACTTCTGGTAGAAACGTGTTGCCATAGAAACCAAGATAATTACTTTCATTAGTGCATGTTTGCTGTGTCACTGTGTGCCAGTCTTCCTCGGGAGCTGGTCCATGCACCCCACAAACTGCACTAGTTAGGTCTGTGCGGTGGACATTAGTGCTTTCTACTGCTTTAAGCAGGACTGAAATTTTAATCACTTTTTTGTTTTAAGGGCATCAAATCCAAATATCCAAAGTTTCATGAAGAAAAAAGGCTTTGGGCACGATTTTACAAAACTAGAATCTTTCTATATGCAAAAGTAAGTTATCTGAATGTTTCCACTATTATCAAAGCTTTTTTGGTAAAAGTTTAAGCTGTCATTTAGTACCGTGCTTTATTTTTTCTCCACCTCTTGGCAAAGTGTTGTGAAAAGCCACTAAAGAAGTGTGTGGCTTTAAGTGACCAGCATGGTGACTCTGAGCACTTTGCAGTAGCTGCCAAAACAGCAATGAAGTCAGGAACTCGGCTCACGGTCCCCGGAGGTCCTTCCAGAATCCCTGGAATTCACTCCGTTTTGTCAGTTCCTGAAGCTTCTCCTGCGCCCTGTGTGTGCTGCACAACACCCATAGCTATGTACATCGTGTTGTATTCAACTACATTTTTAAAAAGTTAAAAACTGAGTTCCTCATTTGCATGGGCCACATCGCAAATTCCACAGCCCCGTGTCAGTGTGGCTATATTAGTAAGTGCAGATAGGGCCGGGGAGATAGCTCAGTGGAATGAGTGCTTGCCTGACAAGCACAAGGTCCTGAGTTCGATCCCTGATACTAAAGAAGAAAAAGAAAAGAACAGATATATAGAATATTGTGGCAGGAAATTCTGCTGGACTGTGCTGCTTTACACTAGGGATTAGCAAGCTTTTCTATAAAAGGCTGGAGAGCAAATACATTACACTTCACGGGCCACCTATAATTGTACATTCTTTTAAAAAATATATATTTTAAACAGTGTCAAATGTAACCATATAAAAACTATATGGGACTGCAAGCTATAGTTTCAGCACCAGTCGTGATTCATTTTGATTCACTGGTAGAGCATCCATTTCAGCCTGCATGTCTAGTAGTTGTGGACTGACTGTCAGCTAGCAGTCAAATGCAGCCGAGGTGATACAGCAGTAGATGCCAGTCTATCTCTTTTTTTTTTGCGGAACCGGGGATTGAACTCAGGCCCTTGCGCTTGCCAGGGAAGCACTTTTTCTACTGAGCCATCTCCCCGGCCCCTAGTCTCTCTCGTTCTAAGACAATCATGAAATGAGCTTAGCATGCTGCCGGCCACTTTCCTGGGCTGCCTACCCATTTCAAGGCCACGTCCGTCACAGAGGTGTGCTTTGCCTGTGTGCTCAAAGCAGATGACTGCTACCCCCTGCCACTGTCAGGTTCTGTGCCTGAGCTAGAAGGCAGCCCTCTTCGGGTCATCACCCACTCTTAGCTGGTTCTGCTATGGACCTGTTACACTGAAAGGCACCTCTCAAGGTTCCAAGTAATCCTTCGTAAGAAATATGAATATTTTATTTTTTTAAAAAATTATTTATTTATTTATTTATTTAGTGTGTGTGGCCAGCTCAGCCCACCAGGGGGCAGGGCTGGCTGGCATGTGGTGCTGGGGGATTGAACCGCGGTCCCTGTGCTTTGCTTGGCTTAGTTTGTTCTAAGTAGGCGCTTTTATTTATTTATTTTTTTTAAATTTTATTTATTTATTTATATGTGTGTGTGTGTGTGTGGCCAGCTCAGCCCACCGGGGGCGGAGCTGGCAGGCATGTGGTGCTGGGGGATTGAACCGCGGTCCCTGTGCTTCGCTAAGCTTGTTCTAAGTAGGTGCTTTAGACCACTGAGCCATCTCACCAGCCCCTAAGTAGGCGCTTTTAGACCACTGAGCCATCTCACCAGCCCAAGAAATATGAATATTTTAAATGTTGTTACTGCTGTGTAATACGAACTAACTTTGTAATTTGTTGCAATGCCAGGCTTTTGGCTATTATTTCATCCATGAACAAGAGATCCATTGTTTGGCAAGAGGTTTTTGATAATAAAGACAAGGTAAGAATTGTGAAGACTGTACCTGGGGCAACTAGGAATCTCCAAATCGAGCTACGAGAATGGCACAACCTTTCTGGAAGGGGGTAGTGATATCCTCATGGTTCCAAAGTAAGAAAAACATTAGTGTGGTAGAACCGGTACTACAGTTCAGATCCTAGCCTGAGCTTACTGTACCTAAAGGTGCTGCAAGCAAAAGACAACCAATCTTAAGGCTGATGGAACTTGAACAGCAATGAAAACATACAGTAACTAGCACATAGCACTAATTCGTAGGGAAAAGAGGAAGAAAGAACATGTGTTTTCAAGGATCTTAGAAAATTAATGGTCTTCAGAATGTCTGTGCCATAGATTTGGGGTAACACAGTCTGTGCTAAATGTTGAAACAATTTTTCAGAAACAATAGAATTTTAACTTTTAGGAATTGATGGGAAATTTTACGTTTAGTAATTATCTTTTGATGTCTTACATACAAATAAGCTTCCAGTAGATGAAACTGACTACAGTTAAATACCACTTGTATTTTAAATCATTTTAGCCAACGGGGAGCTTTTTTCTCTTAGTTTGAATATACAAAATATTGGGATCACTGCTTTTGGATTACTGTGTTTTGGAAAAATAACCAGGCATTTTATTTTATTAGTTTTTAATTAAAGCTGATGACTGGTTTATGTCTTTATTGTATACTGTTCTCACCGTCAAAACACTGGTTTCATATTCACACAAGATTGTTAATAAGACTAATGCGTAAGTTATTTTTAAAAGGATCTTTTGCAAATAAATGTTGACTTAAAAAGTTAATGGTCCTTAGATTTTTTTATGAATCAACTGTAGTTGTTAAACCTAATATTATAATTTCTAATATTAACAGCTTCAACCAGGCACAATAATTCAAGTATGGAAAATTGAAAAATATGCATTTGAACTAAGTCAAGTCACAGCATCTGGCTTCCCTGCGATCCTTTCTGCTCCTTGGTACTTAGATATAATTAGCTATGGGCAAGACTGGAGAAAATACTACTTAGTGGAACCACTTGATTTTCAAGGTAAGTGGCACAACCATCATTATCTTGATTTTTTTTTTTTTTCTAAACCTCCCACCCAGGAGATCTAATCTTGATTATTACTTCCTATTCTTTTATGTTTGATACTTGATTTTACTTAAAAATTACTTTAAGTTCTGTAAAACAAACCATGGGCTTATCTAAGTAAGAGAAACTCAAAAGTAGATCACCTTAGATTTTACCTCCATTTTCAATGATCAGTTTTGTCATTTGCTTTCTACATTTGAAAGATGTTTGTGTCACCCTTGGAAGACACGTGAACAGAACCAGTGAGGCTGCATGGAGTCTGAGCTGGGTACTTCCGGCTCACAGACCCCCTTCGTTACCCACTCCGCCCTGTGCAGTATGCGTACCCGTGTGCGCTCGGGATAGAACCTGGGGCTCTGCACACGCTAGGCAAGCTGTTACCACTGATGTACAGCTCAGTTCTGTCCACTTTTTATATCAGCCTTCAGCATAAATTCTCCTTTGCAAAAAAAGGATTTTGTGATTTAAGTTTCAGAACTGCAGTTCTGAGAATTGATATGACTTTTTCTAAAAAGCATTTTAATATGATCAACGGGTCGTAATTACTATGTTTAAAAAAGTTAGGCACTCGGTCTGAGATGTAGAAACTGAAGGGCGGCACATTGGCCAAAGCCATTTAAAAACAAAGTACAAACTAGTGTTCCACTTTGTAATTCCTGGCACGCTACTACCAAGAACTGGGAGAAATTAGGTTCTGGTGGGTGTCTACAAAGACTGCATAAAACCAAACTGAGGGACTGGAGGTGTGGCTTAATGGTAGGGCGCATGCCCAGCACAGGAGGCTCAGAGTCAATTCCTAGCACCTCAGAGACAGCATCTGCAGCACTAGTCCACCGCACAGCATGTGCACGTTGGGGGCGCTGCGAGCTGCAGGCCAGGAGTGGGAATAATAGCGTGCTGCCCTGGGAGGGGAACCCTGCCCAAGGGAGAGGAACCCTGCTCTAGGATGAGGACAGAAGGTGCAACCAGTGCTGCCTCTGCTTGAACTGCTTTACATGTATAAATTGATTTTTAACAGGTTCTGACAAACAGAAAAAACTTGTTCTTGGTGGAGAAGCTTGTCTTTGGGGAGAATATGTGGATGCAACTAATCTTACTCCAAGACTATGGTAAGGAAGTGACAACCCTTGAATTAGGACACCCTAGTGCTTTCCTACTTGGATGAGAAGGTAAAGCCTAAGACTTTCCCCAGCATATACCTTAAATATTTAAGATAACCTGTATGAATTTAAACTGCTTTGATTGCAATTTTAGGCCTCGGGCGAGTGCTATTGGCGAGAGACTCTGGAGTGACAAGGATGTCAAAGATCTTACTAATGCCTATGACAGACTATCAAGGCATCGCTGCAGAATGCTCAGGTCAGACCATACTTATTTTTTTAAACTAGAACACTGATTTTGCTATAAACAGAAATACTCCCTAAAAAGTGGTGCTTTGCTGGGAGAGTGGTGCACGCCTGTAATCCCAGCATTCGGGAGGCTGAGGCAGGAGGATGGCTGAGAGTTCGAGGCCAGTCTGGGCTAGACAGTAAGCTCAAAGCCAGCCTGCACGACATAGTGAGACCCTGTCTCAAAAAAACAAGTGTTTTGAGTTCAGAGATGCTGGGAATTATTTTTTATAGATGAGAGTAACACCAATAGGATATACACAGGGTCTTGCTACGTAGTTCTGGCTGGCCTCAAATTTGTGATCTTCGCAAGTGCAAAGGAGATATATTTGGGTATGGTGGTACATGCCTATAATCCCAGCTACTTCCAAGGTTGAGGCAGGAAGATCACAAATCCGAGGCTGGACTGAGCAACTTAGTGAGAACCTGTCTCAAACAATGGAAGAAACAGGAACGCAGTTTTGCAGTAGACCATGAACCTAGCATACATGAGGCCCTCCCTAGTTTATTTTTTTTAAAAAATTCTAAAATGTTTTTATAGATATATAAGATTCTAGTATAACTCATACTCATCTGTCAGATTAAAGAATTTGACAGCTTAAATTACAGTTACTGAAAATAAAAGGGTAATTCCATCCTGCATCACTTTAATGATCTAAAACTTACGTGTTTATCTGTCTACAGACGTGGAATCTCTGCCCAGCCTCTTTATGTTGGATTTTGCGACTAAGAAAATGTAAAAATGAGCCAAAAATAGAGAAAAATGCCACAGTAATCTACTACAATCAACTTTATTTTGAAATTACGCAAACTAAGACCACAGTAGTCTGTACAACAATCAAGTTGATTCTGAAATCATGTAAATTAAGATCTGTTATTTTTGAATTAAATATTTTTATTGACTGAACTATCACTGTAGAAGGCTGGCATCTTTCTTGCTCTTGAAACATCACAGAGGAGCAAGCCTCAGGTGCATCGACCACAAATAAGGAGTATGTCTCCTGTGAGTTCGAAAGGGCAGGTTCTCATCCTCAGTTTTCAAGTTTTATCTTTCTCATCTCGTTTTTTCAATGTATTTGCCCAGTGCGTAACACCATTCCTGAAAATGAAGCAGACAGAGCTCCTGCATTTCTCTCCTCTTCCAAGGCCTGAACACTTAGGCTGTACCGCTTCTCTGGTTGAGCAGTGCCTTTTGGTCTTGTGGATTCATAGGTTGATAAGTAGATAATTCTAAGGCAAAAGTCGCTGACCCCGATGTTAGCGTTCGAAGCACAGTTGAATAACCCTAATAATCAAAACATTGAAAAGGCTGTTACATTTCTCCTGCTGATACTACTGGTCCTTAACAGGAAAAGCCAATAACGTTGCATGGTATGAGGCTTGGCCATACTGCCTCCTTCAGGTCATGTAAATGTCTTTGCAGGAAAGACTGGATGTGAGAAGTGTGGAGAGCAGGAAAACCTAGCCTAGTGCAGGCAGGCTACAATGCACTCTGTGGTCTGGCCAACTGGAAGACTGTGCGTCCTGCTATTTGCTGGTAGCCAGGTGCCAGTCAGCAGAAGGCCTGGCTGGTTGGCGAGTGATGTGGGCCTCACTACTGGCAGGAGATAAATGCATGGAAGGGGGAAAATGCTCTTTCAGATTGGTGCCACATTTCACTATGCACCTCAACCTTGATGGCCCTAGGACTTGGGCATATGGCCTGTTGGGTACTACAATCTTCAGATTTCCCCAACAGTTCAAATTCTTGATGGTTAACATGAGTTCTCTAATACAAAGCCCTGACAACTCGTGGGTTTTACTATTTTCACCTGGTGTACATAACCCCTTTATTACAAAAAGCAATGTATGTTTCAGCTGTAAGATACCTACCATGATTTCTGCTAAGGGAACAAATCCAATAACAACACTGTTGTCTTGGCGAGCTTGGATCTCCTGAATGTCCCCTCTTCTCTGTGCCAGATCTGCTAGCACAGGGCTGAGGTAATCTCTAGGCACTGTAACTTCGAGATTCATGAGAGGCTCCAAAACCTGCTTGTCAGCTTTCTTCAGGGCCTAAGGAGAGTGGAGAGTTAAGTAAAAGTTTTATTACAGAAAAAAGGAGTATCTGTAAAAGCTAAAATATTGTCATACTCTTTAAATCCAGGGCTCTAGAAAGTCTGCTGCTTGAACTCATTCTGCCCTCAGTGGGGCTAGCATAGCATGTGGTGCCTGGGATCAAACTGCTGTCCCCTGCATCTGCCTAAGCTTGCCTAAGCAGGTGCTTTAGACAACTGAGTTATCTCGCTGGCCCCAGCTTGTTTTTTTTTTTTTGCTCCTCGAATGCCTTCAGGGCACTTTTGGCCCACTGGATCGAACTACAGCAACCTGAGGCTGGCAAGCTTTGTGGAAGCAGCCACTTAAAGGACTGAGCTAGGGCCAGGCCCCAGGCCCCAGCTTGAACTCCTTCCATAGAGATCATATTTTGTAAGAAGGCAAGAATTTCACTGTTTGCTTCACATAATCACAGCTATGGGCCAGCAAGGGCAGTCCAGGAGGTAAAAGAGCTTTAGAAAATGCATTTCTTTAAAAAAAAAAAAAAACAAAAAAACCCTTTTTTTCATAACAATATGTTGAGAATCTTACACTTCAAAAGCCAAGAATATGCACACAGGTCATGTGACATGTAAGTGAAAGTATCTTTCAGGACAAAATAATGAACTGCCCCCTTTCTCTTTATGTTCTTTTCCTCGGTAACATGACTAACTGCAGCACTTCCACAGCACCCCCGTGGCCTCCTCGCCACGTCCCACAGCCCAGCCTCTGTTCTAGCTGTGTACAGCTCTGGCCTGCTTTGGGGCAGATCTGAGTAGCACATGGCTCTCCAGATGCCCCAAACCAAGCTCAGTATTTTCTTTTCCACTCTTCTCTCCCCTCTTTCTCCTGCGGCATTTGAAGTGCACACAGGCATGCACCTTCTGCCATTTTTCCTAGGAGGTGAGGTGAGGGGAGGTTTCCATGCCTATTGCTGGTGTCCTGATTCAGGCTTAAGATTATCTCTTCCCCATTCTGCAACCTTTTCTTTTTGGTATTGGGAATCGAACTCAGGACCTTGCACTTGCCAGGCAGGCACTTGTGCCACTGAGCTATATCTCCAGCTCCTCTTGCCCATTCTGATCCCTTCTGTACTTGGGTTCTACCTCCATCTTCACTCAGCATGAAGTTCAAGTCCTTAACACGGTGCTTCAACATTTTACTACAGAGACCCTATTTAGTTTTCTGACATTTTCACTATGTCCCAGTCTTCCTCTGACACTACAACTAAAGGGACCTTTTTATCTATCTGGATGTCCCCTCCTATGCCCAAATCATCATAGCTTGGATGTGAATTTCTAAGAATCCTCTTCAATCCCCAGCTTTTATGATACTCTATTTGTTCTAACACTGTCTATCTGGGTATATTTAATTTGTTTACTAAACCAGGAGCTCCCTTAAGTTGAAGAAACAAAACGATCCTATTTGTGCCGACCTCCTGGGCAGAACACAAATGGCTCAACAACTCCATGAATACCAAGAACTTCTTGCAAGCAGAGAGCAGGAACTCCCACGATGGATGAGTAGGCAGAATTCTGTCAGGAGTACTCCATTTAAAGTAAGACTAAAATCTAAATGTGTGGCTACAACAAATTTAATTTTCACTTGTTAGTATATTTTTTATTAAAAGACTAATCAAATGTTTTTTAAGACAGGGTCTTTAAAAAAAAAAAAAAAAGGACAGGGTCTTGCTATATAGTTCAGGCTGGCCTTCAACTCACTATGCAGCCCACACTGGTCCTAAACTTATAGTGATCCCCCTGCCTCAGCCTCCCAAGTGCTGGGCTTACAGGCATGTACCCCCAGGCTTGGCTACTTCTAAAAAGCTACAGGGGCTGGGGATTTGGCTCAGTGGTAGAATGCTTGCCTAGCAAGCTGGAAGCCCTGAGTTCAGTCTTGAACTTAAGAGTGATCCTCTTGCCTCAGCCTCCCAAGTGCTGGGATTACAAGCACATGGCTACCACGCCTAATATATATATATATATATATATATATATATATATATATATATATATATATATATATATATAAATTTTTTAAATGTATTTAGTACACGGTCTCACTACAAGATATGACTTGTAGTGATCTTCTGTTTTCAGCCTCCCAAGTGCTAGGATTACAAGTGTGTGCCACCATACCCAGTCTCAGCAGCAAGACAAAAATACAAATTTGAACTCAAATGAAAAAGACAGTTCGGCTTAATTTAAGGGCTGGGTTGTTTATAATTATTGATTCAAATAAAACTACAGAAAACCAGATCTCAAAATCAGGCCACATATTAGAAAACAGTGTACAACCCAATGTTCTCATGTAAAATCAGTCACCTCTGAGACTGAGGCATCTGTACACTGAGGACATGGGATCAGCAGAAGTGCACTGAGTCCTGCGGTCCGATTCAGCCGGGGGCCACTAAGGCAGGATGTAGAATCCATGACACTGAGGGACTCCTCCTCAGGTACCCACACCAACACCATATGCTTGATGCTTTAAGAAGCAGACAATTGCTCTGAATCTGTTACTCAGTGGAACTCAGCTGGTTTCTGAAGGAAAGCAGTCTTGTGTGAATAAACAAACTCTAAAGCTGGAGCTAATGTGAGATCTTCACATTATAGATGAGGGCCAAGCTCACCCTGATCTGTCTTTCTGTAATCTACCAGCCTTGCCTCTAATGGGTGTGACTGGGATGAGAAAACAGACACTACTGAAGGAAACCTGTCTGTCAAAATCAGAGGGAATTGTAACAGCAACCTGTGTGAGCACTGATTTCTAAAATCCTTTACGCTAAGAAATGTTGCTGTGAGACTCGGGATGCAGGGATGGCAACAGGCTCTGCAAGCACAGCAGGTGTAAGGCCAGGGTGCTCCACACAGTACAACTGCCTTAGAAGGACTAGCACTATCGTTCTGTACCTTCTGTACGCATCTTGAGGCACAGGCAGAAATCATAGTTGCAGAGGTACCAGGATGAATTATCAGTGAATGTAAAGTAATTGTCACATCCTGAATGGGGGATCCAAGCAGTGGTCCTGTGTAAGAGAGAAAGACTGTATTAGGGCACAGTGTGTAGTGAATAGTAACAAAAGTGCAAAGCGGGAGGAGAAAGAACCAGGGAAGCCAGGAAAAGATGGAAATAATCTGCAGTGCACGAACTGATAGGAAGCTGGAGATGCAGCTCGTTGAGTTTGTCACTAGCATGTGCACTTGTAGCTGACTTATCCCAATCAGAAAATACTGTGCTGGGGCTGGTGAGATGGCTCAGTGGTCTAAAGCACCTACTTAGAACAAGCTTAGCTAAAGCACAGGGACTGCGGTTCAATCCCCCAGTACCATATGCCAGCCAGCCCCGCCCCCCGGTGGGTTGAGCAGGCCACACACACACACACACACACACACAAATAAATAAATAAAATAAATAAATTAAAAAAAAATACTGTGCTGGATGTAGAAGCCCACCGACCCCTGTGCAAAAAAACTGCTAAGCCAGCTCAGTTTGCAATAAGAAATTACATGGATATATTAACAGCATAGCTTTATATAGTACTCTGCTACACACACACTCTGAGGCAGCGAGCAAGTGGGCTATCACGCTTCCCCTAGGTTTTGCCCTCACCTTGGAGGCACGCGTTGTGAATTCCATTTTCAACAGCTGCTTGGGAGT